GCCTAAAGTGATACATGTCACTGTCTGATTATGAATCTATGGCAACCAGCAAAATAGACAGGGGAAAAAGGCAGGGCTGGTTGCCGCGACAATGTAAGTTTACTTCACAGTACTTCACTGGGGCAGAGTATGACAATTTCATCTTAAAACTTTTGTGTGCGGTATGTCTAAGCTCGGGCCCTGTCTAGTACTTGTTCCCCTTTTGTGGACCACCCCACGCAACATCACAGTATGTATCCTCCTAAATGTTCCTTCTACTAGTGTGGATCACTTTGCACACAGAGTTGATCGAGAGCAATGTTTATTAAGTTTCATTCCAAAGCTGTACAAAGTACAGTAGCTGTACATTCATATAGTTATAAAAAAGATGCTTCTGAAGGTAAGTGTTGCAGGCCAGCTAAAATGATGTACAGTATGTAATTACAGCTGACCTTACACTAGAGGCTGCTATGTGATCTGTAGATTTCTTGTAGGTAGCCACACCAGAAGGGAATTTGATAGTAGTTATGATAATTAAAGAGATTTGCATTGTGTTTTTGAAAGCTTGTGTGGTTGTTAAAATTGATGAAGAGGGAACTGCCAGTTTCTCCCCTTTCTGCCTGAGCTTCAGCCCTGACACTTGGAGTTGGTGCCATTGTCATTCTCAGGAGTGGTTTTGGTGGTACTGAAGTCTTAGTGTTCAGGGACATGGTAGAAGGATTGGATGGCCGCATCAGAACATTCATTACCAGAAGAGATGGAGGAGGTTGGGGAGAGGCACAACCCAATCCCACAGTGCCTTAGGATCCTGAGCTTGGCTTATTGTGACTGTCCAGTTTGGAGAGACAAGAAAGTCAAAGGATGTGTTAAGCAAACCTTGAGCAGGGACTCCTGGATTCTGTGGGGACCAAGTAGCTGAACTTTAGGATTTCTGTATTCTCAATTCAATTAAAATTAAATTTGTTTGGAAAGTGAGTACATGGTTGAGCCGACTTTATGGGCTCAAAAAGCATAAAACGAAGCCTCTTGGACTTGACATTTTATTAGCCTCATGTGTTTTTGTGTATGCAGACTCTTGGGGATTTCCTGGTAAAGCAGATTCTAACATGGTAAGCTCATGCTTCAGCACTTTATCAAAATCAGATTAGAAAAAATGTTTTCTTGTCTAAGGTGGCACTACTAGGTTTAGTAATGGCTGTTCGAAACCTTACCCAAGATCAACCAAGATTACCAAGAACCTTACCATCTCCCTTGTTGGTCAATCGCCTACAGGACCTTCCAATGACTTAGTTACATCTGCACATTTTGTCCCCACTTGTTTGTATGCGATGTGAGATATCTAACATAAGTTATTTGATTTAGAATTTGCAGATTCAAACATGAGGAGGATGTTCACAGAGCGCAAATGGAAAAAGTGCAAGTTATTGTTTTTAGGAAATACAGTGTGCTTTCTTAATGCTGTTTGGTCATGTTCCTGCAATTGTTAAACTCCTTGAAGTTCAGTAATAATACTGGTTCTTAGCAAAATGTGTTTTTTTCCATTCCTAGAAGCAGGTGTGTGCATTTGTGGTTAGAGAAACAAAAGCTATAGCTGACCAATGACCAAGACCTAGAGAAAGGTACGTTTCCTACATCAGGCTGTGGGTGGGGTTAATGTTCATCAGTTTTAAGAAAATGTCTCTACTGCTTTGAATGGACGTACATCCATTTTCTATCAGCTTTATCCCTATCCCATCAAGCCACTGTTGCAAGGCAGGGTACATTCCAGAAAAGATGCCAGTCCATCACAGGGCAGACTGACACAAGCACACACTCATACCAATTTTCCCAGAAGCCAATTAACCTACCAGTATGTCTTTGGAGCATGCAGAGGAAACCCACACAGACACAAGAAGAACATGTAAAATCCAGGCAGGCAGCATACCTGTTCTGGAACTGAACTGGGATGTCCCGGGCTCCCACTGTGCCACCCATATATTAAAAATGTGGTTAGAGGTTGTTCTGCCAGAAAGCAAAATTCTTTTGAGGGAGACACATCACCCTCACACACCTAGGAAAAAATCAATATTCCCTTCAAACACAATACTCAGGATGACAACAATGAAAAAAAATATTGCACGCAAGACTGAAACCTTTCCTCTTTTTTGTACCATATAAGATTATAAGCATTCATTATTATTTATTAATTTCACCTTCTGACTTGAACTGAGAGTGTCAAATCTCCAACAGAACTCATATGAAAAGGAAGGCATATGAGTTGTACAGTAGTCAGGCTATTTTTGCCTAACTGTTTCTCGCCCGGTATTAACTGACATTTTCCTCAAAGCTGAACATGATCTGGGTCTTGTCAAACAGGAGCCCAGAAATCCTAGCCTTAAGCTCCATGCAATGTATGAAGCCATTGCTGGATATAGTTGACATTTGGTACTGCAGGCTGCCTGCCAAGGACTAAACTCTTCCTTTCACACTGTGCTGTCGTTTGCCCCTAATCAGAAAGCCTCCTATCCCTTAATGTTGAGTCTTATTGGAGATTCCGAGGAGTTAACCTCATTTCAGAGTCAATTGTTAAATTATCAATGCACCTTAACACACCTCTTTCAGCTCAGCCTTGCAGCAGATTGAAAGAATTGTTATTCAGGCCAAGAGTACTCTCAGCAAGATTCAAGGACCGCTGGCCTTGCTAAAGCCAATCTGTCCAACTTTGATTAGAGAGGAGATTATTTTTCAAAATTGGCAAATCGCTTTCCTCTACTAACACGCATACCTAAAAAAAATGTAAAAGCGGAAACTCTTTAAAACAAATTGAGCACAGAAAAATCTACTGACTGGGAGAGATCAGGTGATTGTCTATAGACATTTTTTCAGAGATAATTATCTTATATCAGACAAGAACTGTTTCTAGGCATAAACACATCTTTTCAGGCTGAATCCAAACAGTTCCAGACAACATAAAACCTCTTATACAGTTTTAGTATGCAGATTTGCAAATATTGCCATGCTATGAAACAAAGAAAGGCAGAGCTTGTTTGCTTTAAGCACAAATGGCCCAGCTCCTAAGGGGGTGGAGTGGTCAGTGTAATGCAGCAGCACATACAGTAGCAGTGAGTCAGATCCCAGGCTGGGATCTATCTTTGGACCCCTGGTGTCACTGAGGCACCAGTCCCTTTCTCTCACCCTTTACCTTGATTTGCACGTGTTTCATCTGCAAAGACCCCGTTTATGATTATTTTCTTACATTCTAACTGTGACACAAAGAAAAAAAGAACAATTTGCAGATCCGGACAATGTTAAAACTGGGCTGGTTATTGTATCTTTAGCATGCTTCTAAAATTAGAATAACCATAATAATCTGATCACCTTATCTTGATAACAAAAAAAGTGGAGAGGCAAATGTTTCAAATAATTATAGTTGCTGCCTGCCTTTTCTCTTCGAAGAATGTGTGCTGAATCCCTGTTTATTTACAGTATGCTCTCAGATTTAGCTCATTGGAGGATGTAATGATAGCGCTTGCTGTGTGTGGTGATAGTTTCAGTGTTTCCATGCCGTGGAGACTAAGCTGTTTTTTTATCAGTCTGTCTCAGGTGACTTGTGCAGCGGGGGACAGAGGCATGTGGGGTGGGGCAGTTTATTTGGGGCCTTGACCTTTCATTGGTACAGTATGCAAAAGCTTTCAAATCAAAACAAAACAGCAATTTTGTAGAAATAGAGTATATAATATTTTTAATTTCAGTTGAGTCAGACTAGTACCTCAGCTGCAGTATTTTAACGTAGAACAATGGCAGTTTTGAGGGAGACTCGATATCTTGTAAGAGGCAGGCAAAGGCAACTCAGACTGACTCTAAACAGCAGGCAGCCAGAGGGTTAATTTGAGAGCTGCAAGGAGCCCAGAGGGTTAATAGCAGCCATATCACCCTGCAACTCACAACTGGCAACCCACTGAAGCTAAGCAGGTGTGAGCCTGGTCAGTACCTGGATGGGAGACCTCCTGGGAAAAACTAAGGTTGCTGCTGGAAGAGGTGTTAGTGGGGCCAGCAGGGGGCGCTCACCCTGCGGCTCATGTGGGTCCTAATGCCCCAGTGTAGTGACGGGGACACTATACTGTAAACAGGCACCGTCCTTGGGATGAGACGTAAAACCGAGGTCCTGACTCTCTGTGGTCATTAAAAATCCCAGGGTGTTTCTTGAAAAGAGTAGGGGTGTACCCCGGCATCCTGGCCGAATTTCCCCATCGGCCTTTATCATCATGTCCTCCTAACAATCCTCCTCTATAAATTGGCTTCATTACTCTGCTCTCCTCCCCACTGATCGCTGATGTGTGGTGAGCGTTCTGGCGCACTATGGCTGCCGTCGCATCATCCAGGTGGGGCTGCACATTGGTGGTGGTGGAGGGGAGTCCCCATTACCTGTAAAGCGCTTTGAGTGGAGTGTCCAGAAAAGCGCTATATAAGTGTAAGCAATTATTATTATTATTAATGCCAGAGCTGCGGGTGCAAAAGGGAGCCCAGAGGGTTAATGCCAGAGCTGTGGGCGCAGTGGGGAGCCCAGAGGGTTAATGTGATAGCTGCAGGTGCAGCAGGGCGCCCAGAGGGTTAATGTGCAAAAATAATTACTCTGGATCCTCAGATAAACCATTCAATCTCTTCATTAGATTGCTAAGTGCCAATCAAAGCAGCCAAATAAAGGAAATAGTTTGTAATTTCTCTCTTGTCCTTTCTTTTTTTTGCAGTATTTTAAAAGCAGGTTGTCAGTGGGACAATTTGTCCTTGCAATCAGATAGCATTCACTCTTTACAAAATGTTTGCTTTTCTTTCTGTTGTTTTCCTCGGGAGATTTTCAAACATAACTTCCTCAATGACACTCAACAGAACAATCCGAAGAAACCTGTAGAACAGGCAAACTGAACTGAAAGCAAGACATTCTGGGCAGATAGAGGTGTGGAAGGGGAAAAAAAAAAACAGGAACCTGACCATAAACAGTAAAAGAGCTCCAAAGTTCACTTCCACACCTTGTGTGCCTCTCAGCACAGATCAGAGATGCCACAAGTCCTTCTGTTTGCGGTGTACAAACTAAATCTGAATGAGGAAAAAAGTAAACTACATTTTGGTATTTTGGAATTCTCAGTTGTCTAATGGGAATATATCATTTTAATTTTAAAATCTGGTTTCCATTTTAATTTTTTCATTTGGCTTCCTCAAACCACCAGTTCTGCTGTTTCAGTAATGATGGGGTCTTTTTTTCTCTGCTTTGAAACTATGGGGCTTATTCTGGCCTTCATTCCACTCTTGTTCTGCCCTGGTAAGTTATTTTTGTACAATTTTTTCTTCATTTAAGACATTAAGGGGAAAGGCTGTGTTACCAAATGATTCTTCGCGGACTAGTATCTTCACTGAGGTCTTTAACATTCAGTATAGCTAAAGGTTAGGTTTCACGTGAAACTCACCTGGTGTTTAATCACATCTACCGTATATATCAAACATCTAACTTGCTTTATTGTGTAATATTTCTTAGCTTTATGTCATGTTAAAAAGCAATCTGTTGGTTTTAATTTCAAATAAAAATGTATACTTTTGAATAAATGTTATTAATAGCAACGTTATTTTATTCAGATTTTGTTTTTGTCCTGAAGATGGCAAACCTTGTATATAACAATTGAACACGTTCATGATGTAAAAAATGGATTTAAGCAATAATAGTATGATAAGAATTTAACTTTATTAAAACAGCTCTCAAACAATACCCTCTTTGGCAATGTGAGGAGATTATCCTGAATAAAGGTGTCCTTGTTATTGAATGAACCACTGTTTAAGTGTAGTTTTTTATTAATTGCTTTGGATTTGAGATTGTGACAATATGATACACTTTGTACTATCTTTTTGAAACTGCTCTTGAGTTGCACATTCAGCAAAGTGAGGTCATTAAAGACTGTGCTGTTCTGGCATGTGAACATAGCTCAAAGCCAAGCTCTTGGCCTGCCCTCAGGTCAAGACCTGTCCAGATGTCCATGATCTGTCTTGTTCAAGAGGACTGTTTGTGTCTTAGCAACATCAGAAAATGGAATCACAATTACACAGCCTTGGTGTGTCTGCTTGACAGTTTAAACAAGCTTGGCCAGGTTTCAACACAGGAATGCTGGGCCAAGCTTGTTTCAAGGAAAAGCAGCTGTCGCTTCTGGTTAAAAAAAAGAATGTTTTACGAATAGTGGACTCTTCCAATTAAAGCTTGATACAGCAGCTTGTCAATGTATCACTTGTTAAATACAGGGCATAGCGCAAATGTGTACTAAACAGAAGCCGGTCTGAATTAAAATGTATGAATTTTAGCTTTTTGACAAAAATTGGAATTACCCATTTTTGCTTATGCAGACTAAGTTTCATGGAACTAAAAGAAACATACAACAACTCTGAGAAGTTTTATATTTTTCTGTGTATTTCTTAGGTCTTTTAGCATCAGAAAATTCATCACAGCAGACAGCATATTTTGATTCCCGAAATTTCCGCAATATCCTGCGCTGGGAAAGATTCGGTGGCCCAGATGAAATCGTCTTCTACAGTGTGCAGTATAATATGTAAGTTGAACATCCAGTTGCCTTGAAGTCTCCCTGTTAAAATAGTGGTGTTTAAATGTCTAGAGTCAGGCTCTTCAAAGCTGAACTACATAAATCTGTCCTTGCAACAGTCCAGGACTTTTAAAGCCATTTATGTAGAGTCTGAAACACAGATGTTGTTTCTGGAATCTGTAAAGCTGCACTTTAAAACACAGGTGGACAATAGACCTTGAACAGTCTGGTGTTAGGAGTTAAAAGCTGCAGAATCTTTGTTTCACTTTATGAAATTATTACTAGGAAGGCATATTTTGAAGTGATAAAATAACTGCAAATTTGCTGATTGTGTAGGAGACATTTTAAAGACCTATTTTCCAATTTGAACAAAACTGTGTTCTATGTATTGTATAACTAGCAAAATTGTCCTTGTCTTGTCTAGGGGGTCTTTTTCTAAAGTTTAGAGGAGAATCTGAAATATAAATTCCCCGAAATAATAGTGATAAGCTCACTGATAATACAGGGCTCCTCTGCTTTGTCTTCCTGAGGTCTTACTGTCTCAAATGTTCTGAATGACCTCCTTTCAAGCAATTGTCCGCTTTAAAGCTTCACTCCCAGTATCCAAGGGAAACTTTTTTTTCACCTCATAATATTGAACTTGGAGTTTTATATTTCATGAGATATACTGATATCGTAGCACGTGTTGTTGTAGCCCGGTTGATGTTACCAGTTTTATCTTGCTTTTCTATTGATTAATTAAAGCTTGATCATGATTTAGGCTGGTGTCAACCGCTCAGTCAAATTAGTTTTGCCATCTATCAGGGCTGCTAGAGAGTGAGCCTCTGTGAATTTGTCACGCCAGGGCCACTTGTTTCCTGCTGCAAGACCTGTGCAGCCCTGTTTTCAAATCTGATTCATTTGGAATCAGGATTCTTGTGACGTGGCCACAGGCAAGTAGTTTGTTTTTGCTGGGATTCTGTGCCTGAGCTGAATGTGTGCTGGGTTACTGGTCTGTGTTTTTTCTGTAACTTTCTTGAAACCAAGGAAGCGATACCCAATCATGCTAATGATGATACCTGTTCCCATCTCCCATCCTATACAGTATATTAATAATCCACTATTGACAAGTATAAATCCGCAGGGTTCTTTAGAAGCTAGATAGCTTTTTCAAACAAATCTATTATGAAAATTGCGCACTGTGGAGGGACTAATGCAGGCACATATAACTGAGACCCTAGCAGATATCTACTGCAAAATGGCAGTACAAACCAGAAGGGGCTAGTTTTTCCAAGTATGTTCTTTTTTATACTTTTTCTGCTCCAAGTATCTGCTATTTTATACTGTACTTTATACCTGTTGAACATCAGAGGTGTTTGTCATCCAAGAAAGCGTTTTCTCATTGTACCCATACTTTATATTGAACCCATATAAACTTACATTGTTTCATCGTGCACAGTTTTCACAATACAGTGTTATTTTCAGCTATTCCCATACTGTTACTAATAAATGTTTCAGGGACAGCTGATTTACATGAACAACAATAAACCTTTGTTGTATTAAGGAGAAATAGTAGTTCCTAAATGACAGACCTTGGCTTTGTCAGGTGGGAGGTGTTTTTAATCAGATAAGCATTTCTTTGGAATAAACAGGCTATCCAAAATGCAAAAATATTGCTCCATCCTGCAACATACTTTAAAACAGTAAGGGTGACCAAACAAAGAGCTAAATACAGAGTTAAAGGGGAAATAATCAGCTAAGGTGAGTGTGAGGTTATTTTTTTAACAACAAGTACTTTTCTTTTTCACATATGTATTTAACTGATGTCAGTCCTGTCTTACAAAATATTAAAAGACAGAGGCTCACATGAAAAACAGAGAACAAGACAAAACCACAAGGAGGAACGATCTTTACCCTAAACTGTGTATCAGAACACCAGGAGACCAAAAGCTTTGCAAGAGTGATATTCTAATTATGCTCATTCACTAAAACCCTTTATTCCTTTATTGGCTGCTAGTGGCTGTGAGAGACTACTTTATTGGCTGTGAGAGAAGCAGAGTTTGATATTACTCACATGCTCTGCTCTTAATTGTTAATCTTTCTTGTGGAATTCTGACTACATACGAAGACTATTCAAATGCTTGTTGTTAATGGTAACTTGAAGGCAGAGGGAAAATCCTAGCAGCAAAAATGCAGTTACTTCCTTCTGTTTTATTTTTTGCAAGTGGAGTTCTGTCTGTTAAAAGTCTGGCATGATTAGTCTAGGAAAGCACCTAGATTTAAAGGATCTCACAGAGTGGTATCCAGTATTTTTACCTTTGAATATGGGCTCAGCTTGTTATACTTTTAAAGCTGCGTACACTTTACATACTCATTGCAGAATTGAATGCTTCAGTTTATTTGTTGGACATGCCAAAGGTATGGCTCAACTGAAAGTAAATGTAATTAACTGGGGAAGAGAATGATTTCTGCATTGGGGACAGGTCTAAACACTCTCTGATTTCACAGCTGTAGACAAGAACATTATCAAAAACATTATCAAACCTCAGCGTAAATGTCATTTTCAAAGCCACTTCCAATTCCCAATTCCAAGCCAATTAGAGATATGTGGCATTGGGCTAAGACTGTGTCCCAGTATTCACATTTGGCTGTTGCACCCTTCATATGCATGTTATCTGTGGTCCTGGAGGAAGGGCTTAGTGTGAGTTTTGGGACATGGCATAAGACCGTGAGGAAACCAAGAATGAGAGGAATTGTAGAAATAATGTAGCATGACTAAGACCTAATGCTGTAACAATTCCTGCATTCTGATGTTAATCAGGGATTTTGTTTTTTATCACTGGCTGGCTCACCACTGTAGCTAAGACACTTCATCAAGAACTTCTTCAAAGCTGTGGTTAAACATGCAGACAATGGAAACAGGTGTAAGTGTTCAGATATTGTGGAACCAGGAACAGAAAATCTTTCCCCTTTTAAAAAAAAAACCCCAAAGAGACACATACTGGAGAAGCAACACAATCTGCGCATTAATGCTGGATTGCAAGTTGTCTGAAACATTTAGTCTTAACTGTTTTACTTTAAAGCTTCACTTTAGTTATAGTATTTTTTCCATAGGCAAAAAAGAAGAATGTGCTCTTTAGAACGATGCAACACTTAATGTTTAAAAATGAATCTCATGATAACACCTTACAAACATCACAGCTCCTGGACTCCTGCCAGGATTCCTTGTGTATTTCAGTGAAGGTTTTGCAAATGGGGTCACTTTATAGTTTTGTGCTAATGCAGAACAGCTGCAGCCCTGTCTCCCCAGTTGTATTCCTGAGTGATGCATGTGGAAAGTGGATCTTCGTGCATGATGAGGAGTGAATGTTAAGTGTAAATAATAAGAATCCGCATCAACCTGGTATGTTTCGCTTTAATGCATTTACAGTACGTGGCATGCGAATTGTGTATTTTAAGATTGATTTATAAAATGAATGCGTGAGGCTGTCCTGTGGGTGTGATCTCTATGCTTTTTTTAAACACGCAGCCTTTCACAAGGAATAAAAGTGATATGTAATTACATGTATATAATTAAATTATTTGTCAATGGCCATGAGGCGTTTGAGAGATGTGTTGTGATCCACTAAATTTCTAACCAAGGCTACAATAGTAACTTGAACTTCAGTGGAAATCCTGTATCAAGCAGCATCATACGAAGCCAAATCAGGGAAAAATGACTGGATCAGTTATTTATAAGCTTTTCCTGCTGTCAGTCACAAAATGCAGTGATATGTAAGAACATAACAAAGCTTACAATTAAGAGACTCAGGCTGTGCATTCAGATGATAGCACCACAAGGAACCACAATGCATCTACCATCTAGCAGTTTCCTAAAGAAATGAGATTTAGCAGTGTGACTAGTGTCTCTCAAGCTTGTTGATCTTAATGAAAGCACATTAATTTATTTTGTGGGGCTTTTTAGGAGTTTCATTATGTGGATCAAGTCCCCATGTAATTTTCTCTGATCCAGTCTTACAAATAATTGAACTGTACTAGAAGCTTTATCAATATCATTGTGCGTTTTTCTTGTTACCATTCCTAAACAACAATTGAACTTCAATCTATCTATAACACTACACGGAAGTGCCTTTAAAATTGAGAATAGGAGGTACATCCTTACACAAAGGATGGTGGGAGAATGGAACAAGCTACCCAGCCATGTTGTTGAAGCTGATATCCTTGTTTCTATCAGGAAACAGCTGGATGAGATCCTTGGTCCAATCAGGCCAGATAAGCTGAATAGCCTCCTATCACTTGTAACACTCCTTATATTCTTAGATTCTCATGATGTAAGTGATTATTTGAGGTTAATCTTTGAATGCTTAATTAGGTTTTTAATTCTGGTGAATTGGCACTAACAACTATCTCTCTCTCATGTGAGGCATCTGCGGTTGTAATAAAGAAATATAATCTACAGTACCAGGAGACTGGCATTCTAAACAATTGCTGAATTATATAAAATATATAGTCCCCAAAAACACATAGTGTGGAGTAATAGGAACAAAATAAACCTCAACTTAATACAAGGAATGACAATTATAAGAAATAATTATAATATATTGGGCTCAATGTTCACTGTTAGAAGACACCATTAAGACTTTTGTTTTTAGAATTACTGTACATACTGTATGAATGTGGCTTTAAAACTAAGGATGAACAAGTTCCTTCGAAGTAGTTTTCTGTAAACACAAGAGGCCGATAAAGAAGACAGTTCTTTAACATTTCTGCTTTTATGAGCTAAACCATCACACAGGCAGAATGCAAGAATGCACTTATTTTAATTGGCTTCCCATGAAATGAACACTGTGCTCAGCCTTCCCAAATGCCCACAATACCTAATAGTAAGTTCTTTTTATTTTCCTCACGCTACACCCTTAAATGGCTCACAATAATGAGGGCATTAGGTTTTCTAAATAGAGGTAGCTATGCAAATAAAAAACAATCTCATTCTAGTCTTGTTTACTGACCATGGCATTTAATTGAACTGAAATGTCAGTGCTTGAATTGCCCACTGTTGCTGTCCTTGGAAAATGTCAGGGTGGTGTAAAGATCTGTCACTTGGCAAATTTGAAGTATGTTTGATATTATTACCTGCTTTTTATTTCAGTTTAAAAGGAAGAGGAACAAACATGAAAATATTTAAGTTTAAGATGGATAATTCACCTCCCTTAAACTCTGATGCCCAACCTAAGTAAAAAGCCTATAGTTATCCTATCATACTGCAACATGAATCATGCTTTATGATCCAATTTGTTTGAAAATGACCCTCCATTCTTGTTGTTTGTTACTGCCTTCAAACTAATTTTAAAAAATGGTGCTTTACTGATTCATCTGTGGTGTACAACTGTCACTTGAGACTTTACATAGTGGGACCAGTATCCTGACAGAAGATATATTGTACCAAAACTATTGAGACAGCAAAGTTATTTTATTAATAAATAATAGGCTTTAGAATAGACAAGACTGGCTGCGGCAAAACAACTCTAATGATTACACTGAGTGTTTGGTGAGCACAATGGGTCACATACTTAATGCAGTTATTACCTCAATTTAAATATACTAAACATGAATGTGTCCCAGATCATATAGTCACTAGAAATCACAGGAATGAAGAAAGTACAATATATTTTGGTTCTATGATCAAATGTGTGCATGGATTACCATACTGGTCTTGCCATTTGTACTAATCTCATGAATCCAAATGCAAATGTTATGCAAAAATAACAGTTTTGACTTTACTGTGGCCATTCAAAACCTCCAGCTCTGGCTCCACGCTCTCATTTTAGAGCGCTGTCACATTTTAAAACGTTTTTACCTTTTAGCAACATTTGTTTTCTGGAAGCGCTTGAAAAAGTGAAATTCTGGCCTAGCTTTTATTTGATTACATTTCTTAAACATACTGTAAGTGCCTGCAGAAGAAGTCTTGTGAATTTTGCACTGGGGCGAAAAGCTTTCAAAGTCACCCTGCAAGTGTTCGGTCATTGTGGTATATGGCCTCAATTATCTTGGTGAAAAAAAGGTATTTTCTTCCCAATTGTGATGACTGCATTCCAAATTTAAAGGGAACTGGTGGATTCAGCTTTGACCTCTAAAGCCAGATTTGTGCAAGATATATTACGCTTCAGGGTGGCATGGTGGCATAGTGGTTAGCATTGATGTCTCGCAGTGCTGAGGTCCTGGGTTTGATTCTGTATCTGGGGTGCAAACTGCAAAGACTTTGTACATTCTTCCTGTGTTTGTGTAGCTTTCCTCTGGGTGCTCCGGTTTCCTCCCACTGTCTAAAGACATACTGGTAAATTGGCCCTGGTATCCCGTTCAAGGTGTACCGTGTCTTGTGCCCACTACTTACCAGGATAGGGTCAGGCTCCTGTGCAACCCCGAAATGGAAGAAGTGGTTAGAAGAATTAAAGGATATTGTCTTTCTTACAGGACCATGTCGTTTGCCGCAAGACTTTATTTTTTCGGCGGCTCGCTTTACCTTGGTTAAGTTCAGATTCAAGTGTAATCCTACACAAGGAAATACTCCGCCCGTTTGTTCCTACAATATTCTTTTTCTCCTGTTACATAACTTTTTTTGGGCCAAGGTAAAACTCCAGACAGGGGGAACAGAATTGACAAGGGACTTTGCTCCCTCTGCTCCAGAGAGATGGTTTAATCCTTGTCTCAAGTACAATTAGAAATTCTTCTTTGAGGTAAACTAAGCACATCCCTATTTTTTTCTGTACATATTTTTTTTAATACTCGAGTACTGATGAAATGAACATTTCATGGAATTACATGTATAAGGACTTTGGAGAAGTATAGTTCAGATTTTTAATATCTTTCACATGAACTGTTGTTATTATTTTCCAGATATGGAACACCTTGGCGTGATAAAATTGAATGCCAGAATATCACTGTGTTGTTCTGTGACCTCACTTATGAAACAAATATATACGATGAATATTACCACGCCAGAGTGAATGTGGGAGGCAAAGAGATTTCTAAGACCCTTCGGTTTCATCCCAAGGGAGACAGTAAGTAATCACTTTTCTTTTATTCAGTATTCCAGAGTACAGAAAGGAGTTGGTTTATCTGCCCTGAGGTAAAACTGAACCTGAAGACGATGGTGTACTAAACACAAATACGATACTACAGTGCTGCAGTCTTCCGAGCATTTGTTATTGTTTTTTGTGATTCTTTGTCCAATGCGATCTTTTTAAACAAGTGTCTAATTTCTGGAAAGAAATAATCAAGAAGAATAGTGGAGAAAGCCCTGCAGCACAGCCTGTTTGTATGCTTTCTGTAAAGTATATTGTATTTGTGAACATGGGATGTCTTGGAAATCTGGACAGAAAGAGGCTGTGTGTGGTGTTTGCATGTTCTTCAAAAGTTCACGTGGGTTTTGTCTGGACAGGTTTGGTTCCTATAAATGGGACCCCAAAGACTCAATCCCTTATTCCCACATGGAAGGCGGCTAGTCAGCTCCTCCCTAGTACACTGCCTGACCAGAGTCTCTCCAGTGCTCCTCTGCCCAGTATTTGGAACAGACTACACAGTTACACAGATATCAGCATAGACAGAGTTAAACTAAAATGTTGTTGACTGTAGATTTGAAAGTGCACCTGCAGCACTTTATGCACCTGGATATTAATCAGGATTTTCTTTCTGAACACTGTATTATTTTGTATTAAGCACCTCAATGGGAAAATTACTGTTGCTGAAGTGCTTGTTTTTTTCCTGGCTCAAAACTTCCTTTATCTGGCGCACATGTGAAGATATTCTGGGAAATTTCCTGGAAAAAGTCCCGAGAAAGCTCAGTAGCCTTGCAAAAGGGTGTTTAATATAAAATATTAAATGACAGAATAACAGTATGTCAATAATAACAATACAACACATGTAGTTAACATTTGTTACAGGAGACCTAGACAAAAACCAGAACTGACAGGCACATTTTCCAAATTCCAGTAGACTTTAATGTACAGTGCATCGACTGAGTCATTAGCCTTACATAGAAATGGCTGGGATGTTCTTTCTCCTAGCTTGGGCCTCAGTCTACAATGTAGTTTCTCCACACATATTAACTAAATTAGCTAAAGCCCGGATTACCGTAAAAACACTCTCAATCTATTATTGACATGCCGTCTAGTGAAACATTTACGCATTATATTTTGTCATTTACAGTGGAATTGTTACTCCAGGTTGACCCCTTCCCAAATCAAACATTGTTCACTTCCTTCCAGGGAAAAATGAGCAGACTCCTTCCTTCTGCAGATCTCCCCCTTTTCTACTAACACTGTCTTGATCTTTGTCACCAAAGCATAAGAGTTTCTATTGCGATCCTGTTCTTTTTCTGCTCGCTTGAAAACCTTTTTTTCAATCAGGGTCTTCAACACCTCTCAGCCCTCACATCTCTGGCAGCTGTCAATACCTTGCCAAGAAGTGCCTCTCTCCTTTGTGGGCTGCCACCTGCCACCACGTCATTCCTGTTCTTTGGAAGCAGGTTACTTCACCTTTGGGTCTGGCAAACAGGCTGCCCAGACAACCTGCTTGTCCGGAACCTGTGCCCCACCTCATTAAGACATTCATTATATCATCTTCTCAAGCTGTACTTTAGGGCTGTGATGCCCACAGGCCTATTAGGGTACAAATAACCCTTATTGATGAAGCTTGAACACATGGTACCTCCCAGGGGATCCCATTTTGTTTAGGGACACATCTTCATAACAACCACGGGCACCTGTACCTCAACAGCAGCCAGTTTTGATCTCTTGTTCCTTCCCTGCTTGAGTCTGCACGTAGAGTGACTCATATGACCCTCTGTCTTACTCGTGAGTGTGGCTAATTCCCTTAGAGGTTGTGCAATTGAGTCTTTTCCCTCCTCTGGAATTCCAGTCATTCTGCTAAATTTCTGGCTCTTGAAAGCCCAGGTGTGTCTAATTCAAAACCTGCTTTAGTTGTTCACTATGCCATTAGCAGTCTCTCATGGCCACCCTGTGACCATGGACGTCTTCTCTCACTCGATTACTGTTACACAGAAACCTCAACTCACCCTCTCATCGGAACTTGCCGACCTGTTTCAAGAAGGTGGCTGACACTTTGTACTCAGTGGGAACTCAGTGGAAATATTTTAATTCTGGTCTCTGTGAGACTGGGAGCAAAAGCCTTTTCATTTTCATGGGCTGGTTACGAAGAAAGCTTCGAAGACAATGAAGATTTCTGAAAACAATGATTTTATTGGCTTAGCTTTGCTGCTGTCTGAAAGGATTGATTTAGAGCAGAAGTTCTCAACCTTTTCTATTCCATAGCATAATGACATAAATTTAAATGTTTTGTAGCACATTGCCTCGTTCCCTTTATATGCATACACCTCACTGGCCTGAGCACATTTTTAATAATATTATTTTAAAATCTCAGTGACTGATCTGATTTTGTTTTCAAACTACTCGGATGAATTTTCCTGCCAAGAGTTGTTGACTATAAAACACAGCTTACGTCACGCTTAGAAGTCTTCAGTTTTTCTTTCTTGCATCCATCAAACTCTCACCACACACAGTCCTCACGTGTGCAGTCGTCTGTATTGTGTGTATACACCAAACATGCACCGCGACACTTTGACCGGCACTGTCACACAGTGGTTAGCATTGCTGTCTCTCAGCTCTGGGTTCCTGGGTTCCTACATTAATTGTCTTCTCGAAAATTGAACCTGGTGTGAGTGTGTGTGTGTGTGTTTGTGTGTGCCCTGTGATGGACTGCCGTCCCATCCAGGTTATATCCTGCCTTGCCCTCTTTGCTTGCCGAAACTCCGGCTCTGTCACAAACCTGATTTGGATGGAGCGGTCAGAAAATAGATGGATGGGTTTATTTTTTTTGTTGTTGTTTATTTTTCTCACAAATAAACTTTACCAAAACCCCATGACGCAACTATTAGTGCCGAAAGTACACCACACCTCCTGAGAAACATTAACTTTAAGGATTAGTCAGAAAGTGTGACTCTAGGCACACCCTTAGTAACTGTTTTGCCAGCCTCCATTTTTTTTAAGCTTGACTCACTTATGCTTTAGGAAACACAAAAAGTTAATGTATGTGAAATAGTGTGTTATTTAAATAATTATTTTGTCACGTGTTCATATGTGAAAGAGTTTGCTGTATGAACTTAAATGTGTTTAAGCATTAGTATATTGACTGTTTGGTCTTTTACGCTGTCTGAAAGCTTTGTGTTCTTTTTTTTTTAACAATGCAGCTCTCCTGGGACCCCCTGAAGTGCACGTGTCTTCCACCAGTTCATCAATCATTCTGAAAGTGATACCTCCATCAATCCCAGTCAATAACACATTGAACGAGAAACATGACAGTTTTACATATCTAGTCAATATCACACACCCGCCATCTGCAAAACGAGTAAGTCACAGAGATTTTGCTGTCTTCTCGCAGAAGCCAAATTGGAATCGGAGATTTTCATTCGAACAATAGTTTGAGTTTTTGTGCTTGTCTCTTCCCAGTCAGTGTATACTGTACGTTACAGAAATCAAGTTATAACTCAATTTGAATTTATACGATGCAGCACTATAGTTATGAATTCTAACTGCAGGGAAATAAAAGCCTGTAATATCACACTTACAGTCGCAGAAGAGAAATATTAGTGGGATCTGCATGATAATAGGAAAGATCTGGCCAACGTAGATGTTGGCTGTAGAGCGGCTCTGAAGTGATCTGAAGTGACCGTTCTTCAGAGAGCAGGAATAGCTCTGTAGTCTCTGTAGTCCAAAACCCAAGCCTGACTCAAGCCTGGGTTTTGTCACCTGCCCGCTGTGCAACCAGAACCTGAGTGGTCTGAGTTTGCAGTTTGTCACTGAGCGCTGCATCTGTTGCTCTGTTCAAAGCTGGCTCTGCTGTGACTTCCCCATGCATGATTCTAAGTAAGGAAGGCAGGTGCCCCATCTCTCCTGTGTGCCAATTCTACATCTGTGCGTGCTTTGATGGATGGGGTTAAGAACATCAACGCTCTGAGTGAGAAGAGCATGTCTTGCACAAATCAAACTGTGCATAATAACCGCCATTATTTAAACAACCCTGAATGATTTTGCAGGCTTTTATGAAGAAGGTGGAGAACATGTCCACACTGAAAGCTGTTAAACTGCAGAAGCCCAACATTTAACTTTCTGAACTTGTTTTTATACACGTGCACACAGGACGAATACACAATAACAGATGTTAAATGCAATTTATGTGCTTTGAGTAATTAACATTTATCTTTGTTAAAATGTTTTCTAGGTACTGGAGCAAAGCTCTGAGCAATTTAAGATTGAGTTTCTCAAAAATGACACTGAATACTGTGGATCTGTGACATACAGTCGCTTCAACAAAATGCACAGTGAATCCTCTCCATTCTGTACAAAAACTTTAAGAGGTAATGAAAGATTTTAAAATCACTTCAGAAAGTTAATATTAAATAACAGAAAAGTATTTTTACAGAATTATGATGAATTTTCAAATCTATATACTGTACGTTACATGATTAAGTTGTATGTCATTTCAGAATGTTCTTACATCTGAATCATTTTATGTTGTTAGATATTAGATAAAACAGCAAAGTGAAACCTTGTTATGTGTGATAAAAGTGCTTCTTCAAAACCTGAACTAAATATTGGGGAACATTGCTTTATGACATTATTTAAAGCAATTTTAAGTACTCTTACTGATGGTCAGAGCTGTGGTTAATTAGTTACTTATGGATCGAAGAATATCATGCTGTTAGCATGATTTCTGTTAATATGAAATTACCTGACTGGTAATAGTAAGCACCTGTGAAGCTCACTATGTTATTGCAGAAACATATTTTATTAGCATATAAATCATAGAGCTCGATTCATATAAACTACCTCAAATGCACAGAAGTGTTTTCACTTCAGATTGGAATGTTTTTATCCCATTGTCACCATCTGATACTGAACACAAGAGTTTGCTCTTTTTTTTTACTTTTTTTAGCATTTTTAAGTGATACCTGACAGTTCTAAAATGTCTCCAGAGTGTGACCATTTAGAAATTATTCTCAAATTCTTGCAGCTACCCCTGTGACACCTACAGTCATTTACTGTACTGTATGTCTGGCATTGAAATTCTAAGTGATTCCTGTTTTTCTGATACAAAGCCCAGCAAGCAAATCAGCATTTAAAATAAATAGATTGACCTGAAATTTATAGAGTCATTTACTGAGAATTAAAGACGTGTTGTGTGGCAAAAACTTTTTCTAAACATCTCTTTCCTTAATTTGCTTCAGATAAAAAGCCCAGGGAACCTATCCATAAACCTAAATATTAACCTTCATCATTACTCTTGTTACTGCTAGAGTAACAGGTCTGAGTTTAAATTGAGAATACTAGGGTGACCAACAGTTCACATACTGTATGACATTAGCTTGTTTTAGAGGATCTAACTCTCTCTCAGAGCTGCCCCTAAGATGTTGGTCCAGACATGAATCCCTGCCATTGCTGCTGTTAATGGTTTTGCATCAGACCATTTCGGTCTGTTTGTGATTCTGTGCTGGAAAGAAACACGTCAGCACTGCTGCACTGAGAGTTGTGTTTGGGTTTCAATGAGTAACTCCACATCAAACTGTAGAAGGTGTTGTTTGAAAAATTGCCAAGGATTTTAAAATGACTCTGATACACAATTAGCCGTATTTGACATTTTATTTCAAGATGACAAGAGCATAAGAACATAGAAAAGTTTACAAATGACAGGAGACCCATCTGCCTCTTTTTAAGTCCTAAAGATGGAAGGTTTGAACTCTGTGTGCATAGG